CATAGACAGGTAAAAACGAACGATATAAAATCCCGACGTTTCGGCGACTTCATGACGCCATTATCAAGGGTACAAATGAAAATAAAATAAACAAATGCGAGTTCAAGAGTTACAACTAATTTGCATAGGGGAGGTAGCTACAAAAATACTTTAGCACGGATAGAATCCGTTTGCACGTTCAAACTCCGTGTTAAATGTTTGATGTAAAGCATCTCGTTGACAAGGTAATCGAATTTGTTCATGCACTTCTTGAGAACTTTGGTCATATCTTGGCATCGTATGACGCGTCATCTCTATTTACCAATGTACCGTTAGACGAAACAATTGCGATTCTGACCGAGAAAGCCTTCAGCGACAACTGGTTTAACTCTAAGTACAATCTGAATATCTCCAAAGAAGACCTTACTGATCTGTTAAACGTGTCCACCAAGGGTCAGTTGTTCCAGTTCAATGGTGCCCTAAACGAACAAACCGACAGAGTGGCCATGGGGTCCCCACTCGGGCCCTTACTAGCTAACGTGCTTTTGTCATCGTTGGAAGAAAGGCTAGTGCTCGAAGGTAAACTGCCTGATTGTTATCGCAGATAATGTTGATGACACTCTCTCTATAATGCCCAACATTACTACAGCTACAGATTTCCTCCACACCCTGAACCACGCTCATCCCTCCGTCAGCTTTACAATGGAAATCGAAAAAGATGGCATGCTCCCCTTTCTCGGCACCCAGCTCCTAAACCGTGCACCCCAAATTGAGACGAAAGTTAATGTCAAGCCTACTAATACTGGTTTACTTGTCCACTACCAGAGTTACGTTGACAACGGGTACAAACGGAACTTATTAACAGTTATGCTCGATCGCGCATACCGTTTGTCCTCTTCATGCCTTTATTTTTCTGAGGAGTGTGAGCGCTTGAAGAATTTATTCTAACGTTTGGACTACCCTCGCCACTTTATCCACTCCTCCATTAACACCTTTATCAACTCGAGAATTGCTGACCAGCAGCCATTGCACGTGTTGGGAAGATTGGCGAAAAATGATGTAACCCGAGTAGTCACACCCTTCAAGGACCAAGACTCCGCTAACATTGTTAAGACACAGTTGAAAGACCTTAGCATTAAGCTCCAAACCACAATCCAGCCCGTATTTGTCAGTCGGAAAATTGGCCAAGACCTTAAAGAATGTGAAACCAAACCACAGCTGGTTAATCAACAGTGCGTAGTGTACCAATTTAAATGTAACCTGTGCGATACAGGGAGCTATGTTGGTTACACACGTGGGCATTTATATGCCCGCGTGGATAGCCATAAGAGCACGTCATCTTCAGTACGCAAGCACTACGACAACGACCACGCAGGTGCTGTCCCTGAGGACCTTCTTAGCTGTTTCAAAGTTCTCAAGAAGTGCATGAACAAATTCGATTGTCTTGTCAACGAGATGCTTTACATCAAACAATTAACACCGAGTTTGAACGTGCAAACGGATTCTATCCGTGCTAAAGTATTTGTGTAGCTACCTCCCCTATGCAAATTAGTTGTAACTCTTGAACTCGCATTTGTTAATTTTATTTTCATTTGTACCNCACATGAACCTGAATGACTCCGACACGGTGCATCATGCTATCACATTTTGGACAGAGAAAGTCAACAATCAAAATTTTACAGTCTGCGCAATGCGATCTGGGAGGAATGGAAACAACTTCAATCCTTTCGCCACCATTGATTGGATGGCGTACCAAGGAGCACCCCCCGAGGGAATGACGGGAAGAATCAAAATGACAAAATGGTGGTCAGGAACGAACTGTGCAGATGTGACGTTTCGAAAGGTAATTTACTATTTAAATAGTTGTATGCATCCAGATAATTCTTTTGTACATCCGGTTTCATTCTCGTTTCATTGGCTTAAATGAGGATAAAAACAACAAATAATACTGATAACAAAATTTTTTTAATCGATGATAATAATAATAATAATAATAATATTAATAGCAATAAAGTTAAAACCTATTTGCATAACAATCAAATGTATACGAAGAAAACAAGATAATAACTTAGCTTTGAAAAAAATCTGACTAAAAAAACTTGGCTGGAAACTTCTTTTACGAGGCTCGCGAGTTTCTAGGAGAGTTCACTTATGAGCAAAGTAATGCTGATCTCAGCGGCGCAAAGGACACTCTTGCCCTGATCCATGACATGGTAGTCGCATAGCTTTCGCCCTTCTTTGTAGCAACTAGCTCAGCAAGTCTACAATGGTATCGTTCACATTCCACCGCCATTCCACCTGTCATACCAAAAACTAATGGCGTGAATGTAGCTTGCTCTACTTCTAACACACGGCTTGCGTACTGACGCTTCTTCTCTGTTTCTTGCTGCCTGAATATCTGGTCTGGATCCATATCTCTATGGGTGTCTGCATTTGGGTGGCACACTCTCACATTCAAAAAAGCCAGCCTCTGCCTCTCCTAGAATCACCTAGCAACTATATCCAGTCGTGCATTAGGGACGGTGTGAGCTCCCTATTCAACTCCTCTCTTGTGATGTCTGAAAAACTGGTTCGATTTCAATACTATTGCACACCATACGTAGCAGTTTCGCCTCCAAATTCGTCACTTCATTATGGTGTTGTAAGATAAATTCGCCCCGTTTGCCTATCATAGCATGATCAAAAACGAAGATGTTCCCGCAAACACAGAGAGAGGGCGTATCAGGAGCTTCTCAGTCGTCGCCTGAGTTTCACAGCGTCTCGAAACTCACTCTTGTTTAAATTTAAAATTCATATCTTTAAGTGGAAAAACAGTAAGCCAACTAGAAGCAATCGTCAGAGTGGCAAGGTCCAGAGCTCTTAAAGTTTTTTCACAAATCGAGCGCTTCACCTCATCAAGTTTTTACTTCAGATACTGATTTTTCATTTGGCGCACTTCCCGTTGTACAGCGTGTATTTCATTTTCGTCTGGTGGCTCACACGCCTGTGATTCTATTTGTTGGGCTGATGGAACGGCGATATTAGCCGATGCTACATACTCTACGGCTGCTACTTGACTCGGATTTATTAAGCCGATGCCTCCCATTTTCCCTAGAAGCACTAGCAGCTCGCATTCAGTTTGTGTACAGTTTGTGACCTGTAGTAGACGGTATTAGTGCATCAGCTATTGCACGCTCCAGAGGTGCGAGTAGATCCTCTATGTCAGGCAG